ACTAAATTTTTAACACACTACTACACGATAAGACTTCTGCAGTTACTAATTTCGCTGAATAAGCCAAAAAGTTTTCATCAGAGGATTGCTCCTGATATACATATGTTACTTGCCTTATCGATATATTGGGGTGTATAGTTGCCGCGGGATTGACCGGCATTCGGCATTTTTAGCTTATTGCGTCTACAAAACGAACAAGTTAACGCGACGCAAACGTCGCCGACCCTCTACTGAAAGGATATAATGCTGCAGAGATTGGGGTATTTGAGCAGGAAAGTACAATAACTATTGTATTGGTATACATACTGGGTAAGGACTATTTAAAAAACTTCTGTGCTATTTTTGGATGGGACACATCAAATTATATTAGGAAAAACATTTCGACTTTTCTAAAACTTTCGTATGAAAGAAACCTGTGAAGACTATCGTATACAAGAATGATAAAAAAAAGAGCCACAATGCTGACCTGTGCAAAGCCTTCTCTGATCTGTGGCACATTATATTCTTGAATCGAGCTCTTTCCTTCTCACTTCACATTGAACTTAGACAAATGATAGAGTCTTACTTAAAAATTTTCTGTAATCCCTAATAAAAGTATTAATAAAGTGAAAACGTCAGCTTATCATCTTCTTTAGCAACTGCGATTTTTTATCACTAGTTGCTCTTGAAAACTCATTTTCTACAAATCCAAATTCAAAAACGCACGATAAGTTCATCGACATCTTCAAAATCTCATTTTCTCACACCGTAGCTTCAAAACACAAGATTGGCTCGAGTATCACTCCGTGAAATTCCCTTCGCCAACAATCCGCTCCGAAAAATGCCAGATCCCGCCAATTTCCTTGCCTCCCAATATACTTCATTGATGGCCCATATGAAAATAAACCTCTGATGGGCTCTATTTCAGTTCCGTGAAATCCCATTGGCTAAGACTCTATCTCGAAAATCCTCGGATTGGGCCGATTTCGGCGCCGCTAAATCACATCGACTGTTGGCCCATATCGAAAAAACTATAATTGGCTGAATTTCGGTTGCGCCGAATCTCATTCACTGATAGGCCATACCCACAAACACGTGATTAGCTTAGCTTCCCCTGCGCGAAATCTCATTGGCTAATCGCCTATATCAAACCGTCCCTCGTTGACTGGCATTCAGCTTCACGAAACCCCATTGAGTGAGCGCCCATATCGGAAAACCCTTGATTGGCTGGAGTTCTGCAGCACGACATCCCCTTGCTTAATCGCCCATACCGCAAAAACTCTGATGTTTCGATTCCGGCTTCGCGAAGTCCCATTGGCTAAGAGCTCATAGCGGAAAACCTCTGGTTGGCTCGATTTCGCCTCTGAGAAGTCTCATTGGCTGAGAGCCCATATGGAAAAAACTTTGATTGGCTCGATTTCGCTTCCGCGAAATCCCATTGGCTTAGAGCCTATATCGGAGAACCTCTGATAGGTTCGGTTCCGGCTTCGCCAAATCCCATTGGCTAAGAACCCATATGAAAAAACCTCTGATTGGCTCGATTTCGTCTCCGCGAAATTCCATTGGCTAAGAGCCCATATCGGAAAACCTCTAATTGGCTCGATTTCGGCTTCACGAAATCTCATTGGCTAAGAGCCCATAGCGGAGATCTCTGATTGGCTTGATTTCGGCTTCGTGAAATCCCATTGGCCAAGTGGCTATAAGGAAAAACTTCCGATTGGCTCGATTTCAGCTTCGGCAAATCTCATTGGCTAAGAGCTCGTATCGGAAAACCTCTGATTGGCTGGATTTCGGCTTCACGAAATCCCATTGGCTAAGACTTCATATGGGAAAACCTGTGATTAGCTGGATTTTGGCTTCGCCAAATCTCATTGGCTAAGAGCCCATATGTGAAAACCTCTAATTGGTTCAGTTTTGGATTCGCAAAATCCTATTGGCTAAGAACCCATATCGAAAAGCCTCTAGTTGACTCGATTTTGCCTCCGCGAAATCCTATTGGCCAAGAGCTCATATCGAAAAAACGTCTGATTGGCTGGATTTGCTCTGCGCAGAATCCCATTGGTTGATAGCCGATCTCGGAAAACCCTTGTTGACACGAGGAGTGAATTGTTCTCTACATTTTCACAAGGAACTCTGCTGAAGGCTAAAAAAACATTTTTTCGTTCTGTGTGAACGAACGAACGAAGTTACAAAGTTACAAAGTTACAAAGTTACAAAGTTACAACGTTACGAAGTTACGAACATATGAACCTTGCTCGGTGTATGACCCTCCTTTCAGTAGAGGGAATAATTATGATCAAATCAGAATAAATGTTTTCTATTGTGAGCACTGCATACTCAGCACTCATATATTGTATTGTTATGCTTCTTTTGTTTGTTTTCACTAATGGCTGATGAAAGCACTTTAAGTGAGACATTGATTATATTTTTGTATACTTTTCGGCTTGAACGAAGCCGCTCTCTCGGGGAAAAAAAGTTATTTGGTTCTGTCAATTCTTTTTATCCAGTTGAAAATGAAAAATGACAAAATAAATGCTACGAAAAAAACTAATCATAATATAAAACAGCAAACAAACTTTGAGATATTGGCAATGGTTTCATATGAAAGCATTTTTGTCTTTCACTTGAAATTTTATATTTCAATGCTTGCACTATCGTTACGAACATTTCTATGTGTAATTAGCACTTTTCAACATATACAATGGACTAGAGGAAGAAGTTACCGTTACATTACCAAATAACTATTATCCATTTCTGAAAATAAGTCGCTTGGGCAGAATTCTTATAACTTTTGAAAGGAAAATGATAGAGATCTGAGGTTTTCGTCGTTGGATAGAGAACAGTATGACACGTATTACTATGAAATAACGGAGTCTTCAAATAAGATTTACCATGATAAATCCTCGAATGCAAACTTGGCGAGATTACCATCCCCTAAGCACATGGTCTATTTTAATTTCCAAATAGCGAACGAGTAGCCCGGATCGAGATCTATAATTCTAAACCAACCCCAGGTCTATATCTTTTACGGTTCAGGGGTTATATACATTCTTCGTACAGATATCGACTCCTAGCCGGTCATTAAATGACGTCCAAACTCCAATTAAATGCCGCCACGTATCTCAGCGTACCTAAAACCTTACATATCAAATGTCTTATAAATTTTTGTTTGTACGCAAGTATGAGTAGATGTCTTTGCAAAAAACGCTTATAACTCTCGAATTGTAAGCGAAAAAGACCTAGAACTGGTCAAAAATTGTAGATTTCGATTCAGACTATTGATTTCATTATTTAGAAATCAAAATCCCTCATACCCTAAGAAATTTCAGCGCTGTAGAGTTTGCATCCAAAGATTTATCATGAAATACCTTACTTAAAAGCTCGGTTATTTCATAGTAATATGTGTCCTGTTGTTCTCTATCCAACGACGAAAATCGCAGGTCTCTATCATTTTCCTTTCAAAAGTTATAAGAATTCTGTCCAAGCTACTTATTTTCAGAAATGGATAATAGACGTTCGGCGTGCTACAATTTATATGGAATAAATGGAGGTAACAGAATTTGTCTGTTCCTTATTGTAATAATCTATCAAATAGATGATCGAATAGAAAAAATAATTGAGTAAATAAGAGCAAACCATGCTTTCTCGCACGAAATGTTTTGGGCTACTAGTTTTGAAGAAGTTTGAAAAAGAACAAGATACAAACTTTAGTTTCTACTTTGCGAAAGAGTGACGTCTAGCACATGAAATTATATTAAACTAAACCACACTGAGTCAAGTGCTGAAGTTCGTTGTATTTTATTTTAAATTTTTAAATGGCACATCTTCAAATCGATCTTGACATAGACTGGCTATCATCAAATGGAAATCTAGTTTGATATGGGTATGGGTGCATGTGGATGTGAAATGTGGATATGGATATGAATATGAGTGTTGCTTTCAGTTCTTTGACACCCACACTTCATACCCAATTGAGTTGGCTGCGCGTAACCATATGTGCAAAATAAAACAGTGAATGAATAGTTAGCAAACATACCACGACACTCATTATAATAGAACACCTTGCACTCAAATTATGGCTTTGAGAAGAACAAAACAGAAACAAAAGTAGTTCATGAATAATTATATGACAAAGAAAAACTGAAATCTCTCTACTTTTGGTTTAATTCAACGACTTCATATTATTATTTTTTTTGTTGATGATGATAGAAATCTATTCAAAGTTTATTTTCATACGAATAATATACATAAATAGTGTATTCTAATGATTGACTTTTAAATTGATTAGTTCTCAAATTTTGTTCTATGTGCATCGATGTAATATTATTATAATAAACTTTATTTTTAATTTTCACTTATTATTGACATAGAGAAATATTGAAAATTATGTAATATTTAACATATTATTTTTACTTGATAATATCTTTCGTTTTTTTTCCCTATGTCAATAATAATACTTCAGAATAGTGTTTACTTATGTTATCTTTATGAATATAAACTTTAGATATATCTCTATCACTATCAAAAAACAGTTCGTTTGGCTGAAGCAATCTAGAGATCATAGTTCAATTGTTTTTTTTATCGCATTCATATTTCTAGCTCATCTTGTATAGAGTTTCATCAACACGAATTTAAATATTTTCTTACATGTTGAAATACTTTTCGTTTATGACGACATCTTCCTTTAGATTACTACAAATAAATGTAGGTAAGATAATGTATAGAATAAAGGTACATTTTTTTATAAAACATACCTTAATGAAGTTAGTACAGAAGAAAAAGAACGAATGCATGGAAGGTTTGTTTTCGACTTTTTTTTACGCTTCATTTCTTTTTTATTTATGTAAGATATTCAAGTGAGAAAACAATATGGCTTCTATACAACGTATCAATAATTTTATCAATGGACAATTTGTATCGACAGAAGATTATTTAAAAAGTTTTAATCCAACTACTGAAGAAGTTATTGCTCATATTGCTGATAGTTCAGCAGAAGATGCTGAACGAGCTGTTCAAGCTGCTCGACAAGCATTTCCTTCGTATTTATAGAAAAAAATAAAGCTTTCAAGTTTTTTTTTTGTTTTATTTTGTTTAGATGGAGTCTTGAAACAATCACCAAACGAGTCTATTATCTTAATCGTATTGCTGATTTAATACAAGCACGTTTAGAAGATTTTGCTCGTGCTGAATCATTAGATCAAGGTAAACCATTATGGTTAGCACGTACTATGGAAATACCAAGAGCAATTGATAATTTTCGATTTTTTGCAACAGCTTTAATGCAAAGTCGTGAAATGTAAAATATAAAATTTATTTTTTTTTCGTTTTTTTTTATTGTTAATGAAAAAATGAATATTTGACAAAAAATATTGATTTAGTTTTACTCCACATCCTACAATACCTAATGTGATAAGTTATACAGTACGAAATCCAATAGGAGTTGCTGTATTAATTAGTCCATGGAATTTATCATTATATTTATTAACATGGAAAATTGCACCATGTATTGCATTTGGTTGTACTTGTGTATGTAAACCTAGTGAATTTACTTCTGTGACAGCTGGTATGCTTGCTCAAGTTTTTATCGATGTAGGTATGTATCTATATTAACTATCTTAGTCAATAAGATGCTTTTAACCGATATATATATATATATATAACGTTTTTCAATATCACTTGTTACCTAATGTTTACCGTTGAATGTTTCAAATTGAACTGGGATTATCTATGATGAGTTTCTGTTAGTAATTATTATTAATATTCCCCGTTTTTTCGATTACGATTGAATTGCGACGCAGTTGCGCGCAAGTACGATTTTTTTATTGTAACTACACGTAACTGCGTTACAGTTGCTAAAAAAGAGACGGTATGGCAGTAAATGCCATATATCATTATTAGTATTTATTATTTAATCATCAGTAGTGTCAAACTTGAAAGTTGAATTCAAGTATTCAACTATTCAAGTATCCAAGTGCTCAATTCGTTAACGGCTGGAATGCCATTAGAATCATCTAATATCGACAGGTATTGTCTGCGAGACTACAAGCATCCCCTAGCATTTCATAGTATGCTACAAGTATCACCTAGAATGCTACAAGCATCCCCTAGCATGCTACAAGTATCACCTAGAATGCTACAAGCATCCCCTAGCATGCTACACGCATTTCATAGGATACTACAGCTTTGAGTTAAGATGCTGCAGACATTATCTGGGATGCTACAAGAGGTATGTGAGAAGCTTCAGCTAATATGCAGCACTGAGTAGGAATAACGGTGTACACAGAGACGTACATGAGTCGCGGCTCTTCGGGGTGCGCGAGGTGCTCCCACGCCGCGACGCTGAAATAAAAGGTGTGTTAGGTGGAGAACGCGCTTCCCCACTGAATATTCGCAGAACACTGACGAAGTTAAAATTTGAATACTTGAATACTTGAATAGATGAGTACTTGAATAGTTGAATGCTTGAATAGCTGAATACTTGAATAGTTGAATACTTGAATATTTGAATAGTTGAATACTTGAATACTTGAATACTTGAATAGTTGAATACTTGAATAGTTGAATACTTGAATGCAAGTTTCAAGTATTACATATACGACCCATACCGACATCCACACTCTCCTGTTCGAATGAGAGAAGTAGCTCGACAATAGCAATCCAATATAGAGATAGTTAAGAATAAAATCAATAGAATCGATTCAAATTTTACTGAGAATGATTAACATTACGACAAGTCGACAGAATGACAAGATCGGAACACACTAGGTCCTAAAGCAGAACAGGTTGAAAGAGTACTACAATTATGCGACACGTTGGAGATCTTGAAAATAAATATGACTTCAATGATCGATGCTGATGAGAAAATTTGGTTTTTTGTTGGAATAAAGTCAAACATGATTGTTCCATTGCCATGACAAAACAAATAGTTCTAAATCTATTCTGGACTTATTTCACCGATATTTCATTCTCGATTGAATTCTAGATCATTTCAAACGTCGCACGATGTCCGTCTTCGTAAAGATCAAGGTATTCTATGACAATCGACAGGAATGAAGAAAGTTATTCTCTAATCAAAGCGTCTAGAAAGATAATTATGTTTTCCTTATGAGTAATAATTTGAGAATAAAAATGATTGAGTTAACAGCAGCTTTTAAAATTAATTACATTCATTGCTTATTTTTTATAATTATTAACTTTGATTATAAGACGGAAAATCGTTTTTTTATTGAATTATTATATCGATGTTTTGACAATCCGATTGTGAGTGTGTGGTGTGGACATGGAAGAATATTGGTGTCTTCTCTTGATCAACATCTACGAACCCACCCGTATCCACACCTACATGCACATTCACCCGCATATCGCTTAACTTGTCATAACTAAAAAGAAAAAATGACATAGAGAGAGCAGGAACAGCTAGAAAAACTTGTTGTAACATTCCACATTAATCAAGCTAATTTTTGTGTGAAAACCAGCAGTTCTCACTTCTTCAAAGTAGAATTTGCTTGCCCAACGATTTTTTTTTTGGTATTTAAAAAAGTATGCTAAACATATATATATGTATTAGTTTTCTCTTCATCTACACACTCATCCTGAAAATCGTTTGTGCAACCTCACAGTATAATAAACCATATGACATGACTCAGTAGCAATAAAAAACGTAATCAAAACTGTCAGAAGAAAAGAAAAAACGATTTCAAACGTCAACCGAAGCAAACTTCGCTCTATGAATCACAATTGTTCTTTCATCGCTTCTATGAAATGGCTGCATACAACATCAATGAGAAAAATCCAACAACAATAATCATTTTCAACGGCAGAAAGACGATAAAAACATAGTGTTTTTTTCTCGAAAAGTTTGTCCGTATAAGATAAATAATAGTTACATACGGTTGTAATGCTTGGAATGAGTAAATATGTTGATATAAACTTTCGATTTTCATAGTTCAATAGATGCATTTTTTTAAGGTAATAGAATTTATTTCTCTACATTGAAAACAAAATGGTACTTTAGAAGGTTTCGAAAATTGAAACGAAATTGAAACATTTTTAAGATATCGTAAAGATTTGCGAAATCTTCTTAAGGCTTCCATTTCGTTTCAATTCTCTGAATCTTTGTTAAGCTCCGTACTTTACCATTTTTATTTTTAAAGCAGAGTCTAACATCACTAATGGAAAACCTAAAAAAGTGGCTAAATAATGATGTATTTTTTTTTAAATAATTCTTCCTATGTATAGCCTCACGAGACCTTATTGCCACTCTGATGAAATAGAAATTTTACGAGAAACTTGATCGATCACTATTCGAAATTTCATTCAATATATGTCTTTCATTTTAGATATCGATTAGTAATTTATATGTCGACGCAAACGATCGATAGAGACAGACAACGCATTGATTTCAATCGACTGAGAACTTATTTGAATGCCCAAGGCTCTAACAATTCAATCAATACTACAGATGTATTACTTCCTCTTGGTTTCACTACAAATAATCGTTCATTAACATGGGTTGATACATTGACTCAACTCGATAATTTCCTTCTGAAAAACTTATATCATATTCCATTACAGCTAATTAATATCGTTGTTCTTATCCTTGGTTTGAATTATGCTAGGGGTAAGTGCGATGAACTGAGTGCTCAGAATATCATATCACAATGCTTACTTATAATAAATATTGTTGACCTTATCTTATTATCAGAATTGATTTTACGTAATTACATGTCGCAGGATATAATTTTATCGGATGAACAAAGATCATCTACTTATCGACTCATGTTTCGTCTACGTAATTGTCTCCAAATCGTTTCATTTATATTCATCGTCCTCGGTACTATTTATACGTTCACATCGGTTGCACCGGCAAATAACGACTGCGAATTTGTTCGTATTAGTCTTGGTGTTGTCTGTGTAAGTCGATGGGTTCATTGGTCCATACAACTACCACAACCTGCTTTACCCGAACAGCACTTGTACTCCATATATGTGATTTTTGTTCCTATAATTATCGAGTTGATCTATATTGCCACCGTAATGCCTGTCAGCTTGCAGCTTCATGATCCACAATGCATATTCACTAGTATTGAAGATCTTTATTTACGTGCACCGCTGAAGTCATTCGCTCAGACTGGGTTAATTCTATCTGTTTTTGCTATTATCCTTAATTCTTTCCTCATCATCATTTATCGATGGTTTTTTCGACTGCCTAGTTGGCGAACAACCTTCGTTCGCTTGTTGGCGATTCACTATGGATTACTTAATTTACATAGAGTTGCTATTATATACAATCATGCAATCGGGGCTGTACTTCTTTTTCAACCTCGTTCGGGTGGATCTTGCCATTTAGCAACACCAGATCTATACAAAACTCTTTTGATCTGGCATCGATTTCGACTATTTTGTCCAATTATAATCCTCGTACTTTTGCTTTTTCTGTGTTTTGTTGGCGTTTTTGTTACAACTTTAGTATTCTATTTGCCTTCTTGGATCACGGCTCCACTTATGATGATGATTCAGGTATGCGACCTTTATTTTGTCAAAAAGTATGATATTAAGTAGAATGTTCTCTGTTCAGCAACGACTCAATGCTACTTCTGTCCCAATGGGCGTTCATCTTGGGGCAACCAAAGAGAGTATCGATGCTCTACCAATAGTCGTTTACGGTCAAGCATTCGATCAATTCCAACAGATAAAATGGTTCGTATAAAAGAACACTGAAATTTTTCTGATAAAGTTACAGATGAATTTTTCATTATTATTTTTAGTTCCATTTGTCAAACAGATTATGCGTTGAACGAAGAATTGAAAAGATTGCCTTGTGGTCATTTTCTTCATAAACAATGTGCCTATCAATGGCTCATGATCACACCTATTTGTCCAGTGTGTCGTCGAAGTATCAACTCGGCGCCATTGTAGACGAAACATTTTATTGCTATTTGCGATATCTTGAACTCTTAATTGTGAATTTTAGAAAAAAAATACTCAAAAACTTGAGGTTATCGATGTGTATATGTGTGACTTCTTTTCGCCCACAACTCTCAATCACACCCACCCTAATACTTCACAGAAATGAAAAAAAAAAATTCTCCGATGAAAATATTCAGAAAGTTCTTTTTCTCATAAAATTAACTCTACTCAATCTAGATCTTTTTTCGTCAGAAGAGAAGAGAAGAACTATTGTCTTGAAATTGAGAAACTCAATTGCTGCTTTGTGTACAAGCTTTGTCTTTCAGTTCAGAGACAAAAAAGTGCTTCAGATCCTGCGTACTTTCACAAGAGTACACAATTAAAGATCGAGAAAAAATATTCACATTCCGAACGTGTAACATTCTTCTTTCAAATCCCGAGTGAAAAGAGTAAAAATAAAGAAGTGATTGTACCAGATGATACAAATTGCATTGTAATATCCGCAGACAGACAATGCCAATAACTGTTTGTCTAGTCATCGTTAGCAATCTATCATGGTAGCAACGTATGATCATTGGTCCCGCAATAGTTGGAATTGGTCGATGAAATAGTTAGGTGAGTTTTAACAATAACTAAAATATGAATCCAGTGAAAAGAAGAATTCAAGTATATCTTGCCACATCCATTGGACGTATCCATCAGAGTTCTGATACTGATTGACATTTGAGACGGGATAAACGAAGAATAGTCGGAAAGAACCGCGCTAATCAATCATATGTATGCAAAGATAATGATTCTGTCATTTGAATTCTTTTTTGAACATACATTGGCTCAATCGATATTTCGCTTCTCCTTTCAAATCATATCTATCATTCGTTTCTTTCTTTTATCACATAATCGATATCAAGCTGCATTGAATCTTTTTGATTGAATTCAATGATATTTCGACAAGGTTGACATCAACGATTAGATGATGTGAAGAATTTTATTTAAAAAAAAATTATTTGTCACATGACTTGGTGAACGATTTATGTCGGTTGTCATTTTTCATCGTTTAACTCTTAAGGAATCGAAAGACATCGTTGAGTTTATCTCAGTGTGAATGTAACTAAAACTGTTCTCAAAGCGTAGATCGACAATCAAAATCGATAAATCATAGTCAATGTTCTTTCAAGTTTGATGTAAACTATACGATATACTTTATGAGGAAGGCAGATCAATTATTTCGACTGCAGTCTCTAAGAAAAGCCTAGTCACAAGGACGAAGAAAATACATCATTGAATCAGTGTCGAGAGACCAAATATGTTGAGGATAGAACGATTTGCTTTTCAAGCAGATCGAATGAACTCGTTGCTGCTCAATATATATCCTACAAGTAATCTGGAACTGATATCAAAACATGACAGTCTAACAAAATATTTCCCATTTCTTACATAAATGGTCCATGCCGTGTGCTGTTCATTTTCCTCTCCGACACTTTGCTATTAAAAGTCAATGGAAATAGTTGCGAATATTCATTAAAACAGTAAAATTACTCAAAGTGAAACGTTGAAAAATCAAAGACTTATTGTCTGTCTTGTACATTATGATGTAGAAAATGGAGACCTCTCAATTCTAGGAGTAGATATATGATGATTGTTAAAACATTTCCAGATTAATGATAACACATGTAAGTCAAACTGGATAAAAACCAAGGATATATAGGCAATCAACTGATGATAATCTGATATTTAAACAAGCGGTTCTCTTCTAACAGCCATTCTACCGTAACATACCGACGGTAGAGCGAACAAACGTACAATATAGGAAAAAATAATAGTACGTTCAGTAGATTATTTATCAATGTTATTTTAAAGAAAAGAAATAAAAATTAGGGTTATAATCATTTTTTTATATGCACTAATTAATCACTATAAAGTATTTTTAATGATTCATGTTATATAGACATAGTTCTATGTTTAAATAAGGTCAACCACTTTGAAATTGATTTTGTGTTGTTCATTTTGACAATGTTACAGACTAAATAAAAACAACACACTATCATCATTTTTATTAAGATTTGAATTGTTGTTTTTCTTGTGTTTATTTTGTTTATAATTTGTTTTTTGCTGAAGTTTTTTATCGTGTACCTTCTTTTGTCGTGCCCGAGTATTTTGAAACCATATTTGAGTCACTCGTTTACTTAATCCTAAAATACATGTGAAATAGAATAACACAGGTAGTACAATAATAGAAATACAGAAGAAACAAATGAATATTCCAGTTTAATAAAATTAATCTACAACATACTACTATACATTAAAAAAAACCAAATATGTCGCATTATATACATGTTGTAGTCTGTCTACTAAACATTTATTCACAATTTCATTTTGCACATGCAGCTACATAGAAACGACTCGACTGCATATATTAAACTTAATATATATTTTCGCAAATCTTTTTTTTTAGACTAATTAATCATACATTTAAAGATCAATTGATGATTGGAAATCAAACCGACTTGAGACGGCTAGATCTTTTAAGATTTTATCATGTTGAACTCTAAGAATAGATGTTATTAATTTGAATAAAACTAGATAAGTAATAAGTATTCGATTGCCCAAAACCAAGAATAATAGTTGTGCGAAAGATTAGATTCGAATTATGCTAAAAAAATGTGTCGTAACTTGTTACTTAACATGCAACATATGTGATATACTTTATATTACTACTAGTATACCAATTCTTTTGTTTGATTTATTTTACAAATGAACTGCGAAAAAATTCTTGACGAGATTTTACAGGGTCAACAAGAGTCTTTCTTTCAGAATTATTACTCGAGAGATAAATAGATGAGACTCCTATTTAATAGAAACATTTAAAAAAATTCGCATATGTAATGCAATACTCATCAATAAACATAAAAACTAGAATCTGATGGAAATAATTATCTTCGATTCCTGCTTTCGCCTTCTCGATTCTTCAAGTTTTTCATGAATCTCTCATTTTCCATTCTATTTCTTTCGATTAAGAAAATGTCACTATGGTACAGTGGAGATTTATGAGTTTACATGTGGTATAATACACAAACTTGTCTTTGTTCTCAGCACACTTATACATACATGTCAAAGTGAAAAAAAATACATGACAATGCATGGGATTTTTATAAAATTTTCTATTCGATGCTCTCATTATTTTCGCAAGAAAACGAGAATGAGATGGACAATATTTCGTGCTAAAAAGGTAAGAGATAGAATTTAATGGTCGATAGACTCATTCTTTCTGAGATACCTTTTGTTTTATTACCTCATTTTATACTCATTTGTTAAATATATAAATTAACTCGTAATGAGTGTTAGTGAAGAATTATCTTAATAACAAATCGATCTATCTCAAAATTTAGTGAATTTTATTGTGTCGAGCATATTATTTAAATCATATGTGCGCAAATTTAACTACAAAATAAGTTAAGATGGAAACGAACACCCTATAAGTATGGAGCAACAAATATGAGGAAAAAATGGGCGAAAAAACATTTTTCAGCTTACATTAGATGTGACTAGCGGGCGGTCGCTCTACGCTTCTCGAATAAGCAATACACGGAGGAGTGGTACTGCTAGTCAAGAAAACTTTAGGTGGTGGCCACTGTTCGTCACCCATCGCCATCTTTTGCGCGCCCCCGCCTCGTTTTTTAGGTGCGGTATACATCTCTGATCGAAATCGAGGTGATTGTTGGGAGCTGAAATTCATGCTACTCCTATTCGATTTTTTCAAAAATAACAATTTTTAATAGAACTTGACTGAAAATTTTTGCAGTCGAGGAATACAAATCTATAGATGATTTTTCAACATTCTGGAGTTCGATTTTTTTGTCGATCATTGGAATCCTATTCCAGGAAAATAGATAGATGTTATGAAACTTGGCTGATTTGCGACAGATAGATTTTTCTCACCGAAAAAATTGAATTCTCGAATTCTGACAGATCATCCCTAGATTCGGATTCTTTAACTCTGCAAATCATTACTCAAGTTTTATGAGAAGCCATTATTCTCCAAAAATAGCCTTGTCTTGATCGAAAAAAATCGAATAGGAACAATATGACCCTCACATCTAGTTATCACTTTAATTTCTGACTTATTTTCCATCTCTATGAGTAGTACTACTAAGTTCCAGTACCAAAATGTACATAGAGACTAAGAGACCCAAACATGCACTTTTTCCTCTGGTTATTTTTTCTATTATTCGTTCATACCTGCAGTCTGTGCAATCCATTCCAAATTTTGTCCATCAGGATTTGAATCAATTTGAAAATTGGCTCGTAACGTATGTAATTGTTCTATTGTAAATGCTGTTCGAACTCGTTTTGTTTCACTTTGTTTATTAGCTACATTATAAAATGTTCCAAAATTTAAATAATTTTTAAAAAGAAAAAGAAAACATTTACCATAATAGTTGTTTTCATTTACTCCCATAACATGAATTTTACATAAAATATGACCATTGTCTAAAGCATATTCTTCATCTGTTGATAATTGTCGTCCACATGTATAGCATGCAAAACAAGTTAAATGATAAATATTTTCACATGCACGTCGAATCCAATCATTTGGATAAATAAAACGATCACATTTCGAACATTTATTAATAAAATATCTTTTATAATAAAAAAAAAAAAAAAAGAATTATTTTCATATAAAATAAAGAAATCTATTCAATTATTTACTTATAATAATCTTTTGAACATAAAATATCTACACCTTTTAAAAAACATTTTGATTGTTCATTAAGTGTTATTTGACAGATAGCACATTGTAAACATGATTCATGATAAATTTTTGAACGAACACATAAATAAAATTTATCTTCTATAACTATTTGACAAGCCCTACAGATAAAATAAGCAATACCATCTTTGTAAATCTTTTTTTGATAAAAAGAAAAGAAAAAATTCAATTCAAAAAAAAAAAAAACAATATTCTTTTTAATCATTTACCGATTTATTACATGAAAATAAATGAGTTAACTAAAGAAGAAATGAATCAAAAACAACAAAAGTAATTCAATTCAAAAATTGATCTTCTCATACCTTCGTACTACATTCAACATCCATTTGTAAAAATGAATACTCACTTATTCTTTTTTCTTTCGCCGGAAAAGATCAGATTTCTATTGGCTATTATGATAATTATAATATTCAAAAAGTTGACAAACCATTGAAAGAAATTCATGGATACAATACAGATAGATATTTTTAAGAAAAACACATATTTTCGATAATGGACTTGATAAATCTGCTGTTATATTTCGATTCAATTAGTTCTTCAAATTCTCCTTATTGAATACTTAATCAAATATGAACAAATTCATGTCTATATAGGAATGAAAGTAAAATTAGTCGATAATTTTCAATACAGATAAAAGTACAAAGTGTATGTTGACATCTAATATAAATCAAAATTGAAAAGAAAAGTAAATCCTGTCGAGTCCGGATGCGAACATCCGTCTAGTTGAAAATTAATTATACGGCAATACATAGAGCATTAGTTACCAGATTTATTTTGAATAGCATCATTTTCAATCATATAAAATAAATTTTTCTTAAATGGAATGAAAGAAACATTGATTGGATATTTATATCCATTCCAGTAAAGTATTCGTCTAGCTCATTGAAGAATATCGTTGATATTATTATTATTTGTTTCATTTGAAATGTGCCTTGATTATTGTTCTTTTTTTTAAGTAACCTGCTGAGTTACTTTATTAAGATGGATTGACATATTTAGATTGTTCGTCAGTTTTTTTGTATATCTATACATCTTTATACATGTTGCATTTGCCCTGATATATAAGCCTATTGTTTCCATAAAAAAGAAAAACTTAGATTGGATAGAAGAGGTCTCTGTCTGATATGATGTAATTGATCGAGAAAATATTTTACATAACGAATAATCTGTTGAAAATCAATCATGTTTACTAAAACAAAGGATTTAGTTGTTTATTAATCTATGTGTCCTGTTTGATTTGTAATTACAATAAATAAACAGATATAAAGTTAATATATTCTTTTGTTTGTCAAGTATAACCTCAACTGGTTTAATTAGCTATATTTTCTCTTGCTATCATTGAAGATAATATTTAGTTATGTATTTTTATCTGAAACAACTCTTCTTCTCTCTGAAATCTATTTGTGAACTTTTATAATCTCGATGCACAAGATTTTCTCTTTCAAACATTATTTAAATCTAATGTTATACAATTATTCATAAATGAATCTTATACTGTTGTTGACAAGTATTTCTGGAACAGTGATCTCAATTATGTGACGATAAAAATCTAGAGAGTCCATTATAAATAATTGAAAATTGTGCGTTTGTTCGAATGAGATACATATCTTTCATAATCATTTCATTTATGATGTCTTACTAATGTTAAATATTATTGATAGTTAAATAATTTTAGGAAATCAATAAGTATTCAACAATTGAAAAATCAAATTTTATATATAATCAAAAAATGCAATTATTTATAAGTTGCACAATACAATTTCACAACATTTAAGTGTTATACAGAAGCTTTGATGGCAGTATTTTAACTAACTTACGCGATACATAAGTATCCATATAAATGCTAATATTTGTTATGTTCAAACAGAAAATTCTCGAAGCTTAATTTTTTTTTTCATTTATGAATAGAGCCAACTAGGTACTTTAAAATTCATTTTTGAAATAACACTTAGAATGCAATTTAAGATATTAAATTTTTAATTTTTTTTAAAAACACTAAAAGAAATTGCTTGTTTTCAAAGTAAACGTTTTCATACTTTTTCTCACTTTAATAACTTGTATTAAATTGATTAAAAATAAAGAATGTAGAATTTAGATTTTTTGAAAATTAAATTCTGAAGTTTTCAACAAATCGATGGTAACCAATGATCAAGGTTAAAAGCAAAATAACCAGTAGATCCCGTGACTTTTCACAAAAGTTTTAAACACTTTCACGAATAGAAATTTTTAAAGAAGTCTAACGTATAAAATTTCTTTTAGTTCTACAAGAATAAGTATGAAACATTAGGAAAATACATTGTATGGAGTTCATTAATGATGGAATAAAGATGATTGTACAAAACAGCACCACGTAATTAAAGACTTTAATAATTTGACAGGACTACTTTCTTTTCATTTAAACTTTTTTTCAATCAAAGCTATATTGCTATGCGAAATTTATATTCCATTTGAAAGCATTCAAGAGAAAACAGAGATGATTAAGTTATTTAGAAAACTTTCTATCATTTTTCTGATCTAAAGAATATGATTCTAATGTAAATAAAGTTACATTCAAACTACAAAGTGGCTTACTCAAACGGAACTATTCTGTATTTAGAAGTCTCATATAGTTCGTATAAATATAATGACTTGAAAATCGAGACAGGTCAAGCCGTTCTTTTCACGTAGACGATACGGTATAATCTGATACGGAGAAAAGTTCAATCAAATGTCTTAATTTGTTGCGTGAATATTTTAAAACATAATGTTATATAAATTAGCATCATATTTTTTTTAGCTGAGAACAATTATAAAATATTTTCCAAACAACTTAATGAAATAACTTGCCTATTCTTGAAAGAAAAACAAATAATCGTAATATGAAAGAATTTCTAATTTTACTCTAGTAACAAGTAATTTTTAGTAGTTTTTAAAGCAATGAAAATTCAATATCTTAATCCTTTCGCACCTATACCGGTTCCAGAAGAACTACTGATAAAATAACTTTATAAATAGTGTATTAATCCGTCTAATTTCTTGAATGTTTTGATTAAACCATTCAACTCATATTTACAGTTATATGTACTAAGATAAAAACGTTTGTTAAAATATTCTTATTAATCAAGTGAAAAGTCTTATTTATTTTTCTTTTCGTCTTTATACAATCGATAGAACGTATAATTCTTTCGATTATTTCTTGATATGATTGTTGTATTGACATAATCGTACACAATTTGTTGCTCAGTCTATTTTGAAATTTTTAGCTATGAATAGTGAAAATTCATGAACAAAAATTGTAACTGTGTCTTATGCAATTGTAGCAAAAAAGATTATGAGATCTTATGTATTTTTGTTGATATTGTTGTTGAATAAATCAAAAGAATAAGAAAAACAAGAAATTCTTGTTAGAGTTACACAAAACTCCTTACATAAGATACAATTAAAATTTTCTTAATGAATTTTCACTGTTTATAACTGAAACTTGCGAAATCAACTATGTAACAAGTCATGTATTGATGATCTAAGTATGATTCAAAACGATAATTGTATGGAAAAATAATTAAAAAAGGTAGATATGATATTTATTTTACACAAGGAAATTTATGGTGATAACAACGGAAAAAGTACTCAAAAATTTCTATAAATATAATTCTTTTTTAATAAAAACACAAAACAAGTTCCTTTAAAGTATTGAAAAGACTGGTACCGTATGTTTTTTTTGCTCAGGGCAAAAATATCGTATGTTACTCATCATTTCAAAATCATGAGATAAAACAAAAGACCAATGCCTATTTTTCGTATATAGAAGCCTATAAAATTAGCTTAATACTCTCTTATCTTCAGACAAAACTTGGTGAAAGAAAAAAAAATAAGCAGCAAAAAATGAATTATTAATTCCGAAGAAAAAAAAAAGAATCATTTAGATTTTTTTAAAAGTTGTTTTTTAATTGGTAAAAAAAAAAAGTATTTTTTTTTTCCTTGGTTCTGACATTTGTCAAGCATGATACGACATATAAATATAACAGAAAAAAGTATTCTCAGCATGTACATTAAAAAATAGACAAACATGACTAAGATTGTCATCTTTGTGGTTCTAGTAAGTTGTTATTTTCTTCTTTTTTTTTTATTTTTATGCATTAAAACAAAACTCTTATTTGAATTAAAGGTATGTTGTGTGACCATTTCTTTGGGGTTCCCGCCTATTCTCGATAGAAAATATGGTTTTAGTGATCCTCTCGATAGTCCAGGTATATGGTCATCAAAATCATGTCGAGATCCATATTTGGCTCAAAAATATTTGATTAATATCCGACAACTTATAACTACTCTTGAAACAAATGGCTCCTATAAACAAATTCGTGACAGACATGCTCATTTAATAGATTATTTGAAAGATGATAAGAATGCAGCTCTTCTTATATCGAGCTGCGATCAATTTATGATTGGTCTTGAAAATGCTCGAAAACGTGATTCACAAGGTTCAATACAACAATAAAAATATGAAGAAAATGTCTCTCGTTTCTATAGACAACTTATTCAATCACTTGTTGTTGACTTTCGTACTTTTATTGATGATAATTTCTAAATAAAAAAAAAAAAAAAAGAATGAGCTTTGATATAAACAATATCTGTATATTTCTAATTTTCTTGAACAATAATAAATATGATGCCATTTACAAATTAGTTTACTTGTTAAAATTATTTGATAAACTACTTATATTGATTGACATAAGAGATTACTGTTTTAACATATTAGTTTTTGAAAGAAAATATTTTTACTTTTTTTAATATTTGTCAGATAGAATAATTGACTGTCATCTGCTTTATACCATTACTTTACTAATGAATTTTGATAATTATTTTAGAATAGTAACGCACCTAGTCAAACGTCAAAACTTTAAAAAATACGTGTATTTACAGGAAATTTTCAGTAACTCGCATTTGCTTGTAAAATATTTTTTAAGTTGTCATATCTTATGTATGAAGATAAAAACTATTTCAAATATTTACAATTCTTGTACATAAAGACAGTAGAACAGCACATGCATAGACATGTATGGAAATAAAATTTTTTCTTTGAAGTTTTCAAGCAAAACATTCGAGATTATGCATGACTCTTATCCTTACAGATAGTTACATACAATACTCTTACGTATTTATGCAAGATATATGATTCGCATATAAATGCAAATATGTAATTGATGTGTTCCTGTAAGATAACTAAAATTTTTCGTATTTACGAAAACTAATACCAAAATGATTCTATGTCATGCGCAAAATTTTGATGCACGTAAACATGAATATAGTTTACTCTGTAATACATTCTCATGCATACCATGTCGTAAGGATTCATATATGTACATGAATTTTATAAACTTTCGCGTTTGACTGGGAAGACTATATCAATCATTCTTTTGAAGTAACCTCTATAATCGATGACGTACTTTATGTTATAGATACTAAATTATTATTTCAGAATTATCATAGCAATGTATGTTATTTGTTTTTGCTCAAATGAATCAAAGAATTGATTAATTCTTCACTGTTGATTTATTTTTCTAATATGTCAAATTCAATAAGAAAAAGACAAATTTGATAAATTAAATCTGACAAAGGTCGAATGTTTATGAAAATGTATATTTTATTTAACATTACAGACTTACTGCCTTTCATGCAGAATATGCACTCATGTTCTTTTAAGTTGTTGATGTTAATATTAGGAATAATAATAAATGATTTTTATGTAACATTAGTTGCGACATATCTAAGTAAGGACAATTACAAAAAAAAAAGACACTGCATAAACACTTTTTATCTTACTAAAACATAATCTTTTCTTTAATGGAATCAATAAATA